TGTCGAGCGAAGCCAATCGCAGCGACAGCACAGCTCGGATTAGGTCTACTGTCAGTCGCGCGGCGGCAGGCCCTGGAGTGCAAGACTGGCAGCAGCAGGCTGCATGTGCAAAGTGCGGAGGGGCCAAGTGGAATTCGGCACCGTCTTCCCGGTCACAAGCGGCACCACCGCCAAGAGCTACCACGAGTGGGCACGGATAGCTCAGTATGGCACAACTGCTTGAGGCCGAGATCGGCAGACGACGGCTCCAGAGTGTTGGCGGCAGCGTCGCGAAGGAGCGGAAACCGGTATGTTCCAACCAACCGGAACCATGTTCGCGAGACAAGCAGAATATCGGGCTCAGCGGGCAAGCACGGCACAAGCCAAGGCGTTCAAGCGCGTGGAATTGTTCAGGGGGGAATTGGTGGACTGCGGCCAGCGGATAATTGAGCTCGCGGAGGCCGATGACGAGGTCCAGGAGGAGCTGTCCATGCACCCGCTCGGAGGAGGAACGGCGGGCAGCGAGGGGAAGGGCACCGAGAAACCCCTCCTCCCCATCGGCGCCCTGGCCGGAGATGAAGACTTGGACGTCGACATGGGCGAGGTCTTCGGCACGGACCACGTCGAGGGCATCACAATTGAGGAGTCTGACGAGCTCGGGCGAAGGAGTGCCGCGTTCACTGCGTCGGCCACGGAGGCAGCGAAGGCCGCTTCGCCGCAGCAGCAGCCAACCTCAGGGAGGGAAAAGGATTGGAACAGGCGTGGATGGATTGGTTGCAGAATAACAGGCCAGCTGGCGAGCAAGATCCAGAGCAAGCGGCGTACCAGTGCCAGTAGCAAGCGAAGGAGGAAGCGTCGGCGCTGGAAAAAGAGAATGGCGACCTGCTGGGGCAAGAGCAACCAGGGGAATCGTCAGCGGCAGACACCTCGGCGAAGGAAAGGAGGAACTGGAGAAGGAGGCGACTGCTGATGCAGTCAATGCGGCCCGAGCGGCAAAGAAGGAGAAGAAGGGCGCAGCGGCAGCAGAGGCAGACACAGCGAGGGTAGCCGCAACCCCGTGACTGGGGAGACTCCTGTGGCAAGGGAGGAGCATGGCAAAGGAATGCCGGGATTCATGCATAATCTCTCGCAATTGGGTAACAGGACAAAGTTGGTCGGGCTCAAGGACGACATGGTGGTAACTATTGTATTCCAAGAGGCGCACGTTGCAAGGTGCTCCAGCCGAGCAAGGTGCACGGGCCTCCTCATGGCCGCTCATCGGAAACGCGTCTTCCTCATCCCCGGCCTGTGCCTCCCCAGAGTATGGGGGGTAGGCTGTGGTGGGACTGTGCCCTTCCCCTCTCCCTCGCTCCCCTTTCTCCTCCCCGTCCTCTCCTTCCCCCTCCGTTCCTCCTCCCCTGGGGTTTACAGTTCTCGCCGCGGTCCACTCCTGCGCCAGGGTCGGAGGTGTGCTACTTAGCTTGAGGGGGTGAGGGCAATAAGCGCGGCTAACACATGCCCCCTTCCGGGTGCCCCCTTCTGTGCTGACTTGGAGGAGGGGTATGGTCGTTGCTGCTCTGTTTGTGTCCTTGTGTCCTCTTGATTGTGCTCGGGGCGGCCATCCTCTGTGCCGTACGGATTGCTTGGAGGCAGGCTTGCCGGATCATCACGCCGCGGAGGCGGTTGGGGCTTCGGCTCTTTCCTTTGTGGGGGCTTAGGCTCCGGCTGGGGCTTCGGTGCCAGCAGCGGAACCTGGGGTGCAGACCGGCGACTCGTTCGGCCAACGCGGGTCGGTTTTTGAGCCGCATGTGGCGTGTGCTGTAGCGACTGTTTCCATAGAAGGCCCTCTGCTTTCCCTCGGGTCAAACTCGGTGTGCGTGTGTGTTTGCACGGATTCGTGCTCCTTAGTGGGATCTTGCAGAAACAGGCGTCATGATATGTTAATGATTCACCCAGCGACGCCTTAAGTCGTTTCTGGGCCTCAGTGTTGTGTGCTCGGGTGGCACCAGGGGTCGGTTTGTCTAGATGCACCAAGTAGGCGCCTTGCGCCACCGCTGGTGCGTCCACCTTCTTGGCGCCCCCTCGCCCTTGCAGCCAGGGCTGTCTCTTGATTGCACATTGGGTGGTGTGGCGTGTGGGTGTGTGAGGGCTTGATTAATCGTGTTCCGCTTCCGTTTCCCTGCCCCACAAACACACGAGCTTTTGTGATGTGCGCCCGCGTGTCAAATCAGATTCGTTTGTGGCCCCTGTGTGCAGATGACACGCACACATAATATAGTGTGCAGTTTGGTTATGGTGGTGGTAGGACTGAGTTAGTGTCTCGTGGTTCGGGCTGCTGTGGCTGCATGTGTATATGCCCAGCTTGATTTTCGCCTCCTACTAGATCCCAGGTCAAACGCGGGGTCTCCTTGAGGGCCTGGCCGTCGGTCGCGGCGCACATGCCGGAGGCGGAGGCGGAGGCGGAGACGCACGTTGGCAAGACGGGGGCCGCCGATATTTTGGTATTGCGATGCCAAGGGCTATAAGGCAGTGGTCACCCGCTCGGAGAAGAACAATCGCAGTGCGCTTGCAGGAGGCATTGTGACTCGGTGACGTCGCTGATTCACTTGGCGGCGAAGGAGGAGCAGTCAGTCGGGCTGAGGGACTTCGACGCCAAGTATCAACCAGGCTTACCGGACTTCACGGACGCGGTGGTCATGAGCTGGCGCTGGCAAGGGCAGCGACGATTGGCGTCAAGAGCAATAACTCCACGTCTCGGACATGTATTATCCAAAGCGATGTGCCTGTTATGCTGCAGGTGCGCAGCAGCGTGTATGCGTTTCAACATTTTTTTTTGCCCGCCCCTGCAGGTTCCTCAAGGACGGCGCAAGAACCCCCCGAGACAATCCCGGGACGCCCCCACCTGGGCCATCTTGGGACAGGCGTCAAACGCGGACTCCCAACCCCGCCCCCGAGGTATCCAGGAGAGTTGCGCGGCAAGCCGTGGCAAACCCCGAGAGCCCCGAGAGATGCCCCCACACTGGGGGAATCGAGGCGCTGGGCCCTGGAAGAAGTATGCGCAATCTTCGCAGCAGAGAAGTCGAGAGGGCTCGGGGGGCGTTCTATTCAGCGGTGGAGCACGGTGGCGGATCTGGGTTTTTCTGCCCCAAAAGCACCAGTTGTATTGGACACTCGGTTTGAAAACGCTTGCGTTCGATATTCTTGCGCCCGCGGGCGCCGTGGCCGTCGCCATGAGTTGGACAGCGAGTGGGCCGCGCAGCTTGTTTGCGAAACGTCCCTCCTGCTTCTGCCCCTCATTCCTTTGTCCTTCCCTCCGTTCGTCCTCTTTGCCCGGTCCTTCCCCGACCCCTTCCCAAATCATCTTCTTCCCGCTTCCGCTTCCCCTGACTCCCTGCGTCGCGTTGCCCCAATTCCCCGTCACCCTCGCGTCCCCGAGTGCGTCCCACTGGTGCTCCCCCCCTCTCGTGTTCTTCCCCTGCCTGGCCCCTCACCCGTCCTCCTCCCTACGACCCCCCCGTGGGTATGGGCGGGTGTTGTTCTTTCGTCCGACGGAGGCATCTGTACACCACCGCCGTGCCAGGCCAGGGCCATCCTGGGCCCCAGGATGGTGTATAGACCCTCTTGGCCTCGGCCAGGAGGGCGTATACATCATCCTGGGGCCCAGGATGGCCCTGCCTTGGCACGGTGGTGGTGTATAGATGCCTTCTGCGATTTTCGGTCCGCGCGGATTTCTCAGATCGGCGCCGGCTCCCTGGGCGGCGCCCCCGGCGCTGCCCTTGGCGCGCTCCGCGCGCCAGCGAGGGGGACCCAGCGCCGCTCCGAGACATTCGTGCGGACCTCCGATGTTTTCGGGTTGTGTCTTTTTCCTTCGTGTCGAGGGAGGAAAAACTCGGGGACGGAAGAGAGGGGGGTGATGACTAGGGGGGGGTGGATGTCATGGCGGGGGCCTCTTCTCATTTCATTACGTCCCTGGCCCCCCCGCTGGGCCGCGCACGTGCCGCCGGTCATGAGTTGCACCCCCCCCTCTTGGACACCCCCCTCTTTGCCGCCCCCGAAAAACCACCCGGACTGGACAGTTGGCGTGTACCCAACGGCCCTGGGCTTTTACTAAACAGCCCTGCCCTCTTCGATTCCAGTCTGGGGCGCTTTCTCTAAACGGCTTCGCGTGTCGGGGTGGCTGTTGTCGGGGTGGATTTTCTGCCCCCTCTTTTCTTCGTCGAGTCCTTACTCTTTGACCCGCGTTCTGGCTGCTGCCAGTTGCTGGTTGCCAGCGCGACGCGGCGCGAACGCTCGCCGTATTGGAAGGGTGTGGGCGCGTTGCTCCTTTGCGGTTCAGGCCCTCGTTTGTTGCTTGGCTCCTGTGCACCCTGCAAGTGCCGCGTAGCTTCTGCCAAGCGGTCGGTTACGCCAGGTTTTTTTTCTGGGGCGATCAGCTTCGGCCTCGTTTTCATAGGGCCGGTCCTCTCATGTTGAGCGTCATGTTGAGCGACGCCCGCCTTTGCGCTGCTTTACCCGCCGACGGCAACCCATCGGCGAGCCAGAGCTCAAGTGTGTTTGTCTGTGTGAGTGTGTGGCTACGGCGATCGCTGTGGAGTATTTCCCTCTGGAACGTCGCGCGTTCAACTGCCAAGTAAAACAGGGTCTTCGGCGATGCTTCGAGACACTTATTTCCAGACACCGCTTTGTTTCCACCGGCCCTTACACATGGGGTCAGCGGGGCCCAGAAGTTTGGAGGCCGAACCGCGCAATCGGCAGTCTGAATGCACTTCTTTGTGCCAGCGTTGAGCGTCAGAGGCTGTCCCCGTCGCACTGTGGCGGCCTCCCAGGGCATCTTGACTGCCTCATGCCCCCCCACACACTTTTGGGAATTGCGCTTTGTGAGGGAGGATGGGGCATGACCGAGAGCTGGATGAGGCGGAACGAGCGGGGGTGGAAACAGCAGAGGGTGGGGAAAATGAAGCTGCGGGCGAGCACGCCCCATATCATGGCCAAGAAAAGGAATGCTAGGAGGAGGAGAGCAGGAGGACGAGTTTTACCGTGCCCAGGCTATCGTCTTATGCGTTTACGCTTCTCGCCATCTACTACCTGCAGGTAGACCCAGAGGCCCGCGCTTGCCCTCGTGGCCGCTTCGCCATCTTTTTTGGTTTCCCGTGTCCCCGCTTCGTCTTGCGTTCATTTCGATCTCTCTCTCTCTCTCTCTTTGCTCTCTCTCTCTCTCTTTCTCTGTCTTTCTGTCTTTTTTGGCTCAATCTCTCTCTCTCTCTATCTCTCTCTCTCTCTTATTTCAGGCGTCACCCGACGGACGGTGAATGAGGGTGAAGAAGGAGGGAGAAGAGGAGCGAGGGAGGGGGAGTGCCAGGGACGAGGGAGGAGGGTGGAGAGAAAGAGAGAGAGCGAGTGTGTGTGTGTGTGTGTGCGTGTACGAGTGAGTGTGTTAGAGAGTGAGAGAGGGTGAGAGAGAGAGAGAGTGCGTGAGACTGAGTGAGTGAGCGGAGGAGAGAGAGAGAGAGAGAGAGAGAGCGAAATCTGTATACATATATATATACACATGTATATACATAGACATAAAGAGACAGAGAAACAGAGAGAGAGAGAGAAATAGAGAGAGAAGAGAGAGAGAGAGAGAGTGAGAGAGAGAGAGCGCGTGAGACTGAGTGAGTTGGCGGAGGAGAGAGAGAGAGAGAGAGAGAGTCAGAAAGAGAGAGAGAGAGAGCGAAATCTGTATATACACACATATGTATATATAAAGAGAGAGAGAGAGAGAGAGAGAGAGAGAGAGAGAGAGAGAGAGAGAGAAAGAGAGAGAGAGAAAGAGAGAGCAACAGAGAGAGAGAGAGAGACAAAAATAGAAAAAGAGAGAGAGAGAGAGACAGAGAGAGGGAGAGCGATAGAGAGAGAGAGAGAGAGCGGAGGAGAGATGAGCGGGAAGGAAGGGAGGTGACGTTGTTTTGTCCAATCCTCGTTCTGCAGATTGCATCAGGTGTTTGCTGCTGGGGTAGGCCTCTGTCTGCGACAGGCTGCCGGCAGAACTGTCGGAGGGTTGTGTCAGAGTGCGTTGTAAGGTCTCATCACTGATGCCGCGCAGGCAGGTGCCGACAACTGGGAGCATATTTTTAGCCTGCATGTGCCGTGGCGCTGGCACCCGCTGAGGAAATGCAGCCAATCAAGTTTTGCCGCCTCTGCAGGGTAGAGGGCTTCAGAAGCGTGGAGGAGCGGGGAGGAGGCAGGAGGAGGAGGAGGCCGAGGATGTGGAGGAGGCTGGAGGAGGAGGAGGCAGTACCCATCGGTCGTTGAAAGTAGGTATTTTTGGAGTCCCAGATTCCAATCTACTTTCAGCGCCTTCCTACTTCAGTGATCGAGTGGCTTCACCTTTTCCGTCCTCTTTAGGGGGCGGGCGGATACTCAATCTATTTTCAATGCCTTCCTACTTCATGCTTCTACCTACTTCTTCCGACCGATGGGTAGGGGTGGCGCAGGATGCGGAGGGGTGCTGCTAGATTATCCCGCTGATGCCCACATCTGGGCATGAGTGTGCATCCATCGGGGAAGCGTAAGACTCGACTGAGCCGGAACTCGGGTTTGCCGACTTTTTTGACGAGCGCGTCCTGGATCTTGACGGTCCCGTTTTCGTGGGATGTCTGCAGCGGGAGCCCGCGTCAAATTTCAGATTTGACCTCGTACCCCCCCCAGTGTGCCTCCTCTCTCGGCGAGGACCATCGAGGAGCATTGTTTCGTTCGCCTCGTGAACGACTGCGCGCACGAAGCTGGAACATGCACAGGGAGTGGACGTTCGAGCGACGTGCGAGAGCTCGCAGAGGCGCCCAGAAGGGTCCCACGGGGCCCCCAGGCTCCCCAGGAGGCTTCCAGAGCTCCACGGGAGCTCCAAAAAGGATCTCGCGTCAGTTCCAAGAGGGCTCCGAAGTGGCCCCAGAGCCTCGCAAGGTCGCCCCAGAGGGCCCCCCCTAAGCTGTTCCAAGACATGGTGTTTGTCAATGGCTCTCTCGCCTTATCGCTGCCGATCGGATTTGAAGCCTCCAGACATGATGGCTCCAAAATCGTCCAAGACAGCCCCAAGAGATTCCCAACACGGGCCCAAGACGGCCCAAGGGGCCCCCCGAGACGGCCCCAGGACAGCCCAGGAGGCCGCCAGGCCCCCAAGAGTGCCCCAAGAGAGCTCCACGAGGGCCCTGGAGCCTCACCAGAGGCCCACTGAACGCTCTCGGCCCCAAGAGGCCCCCAGAAGGCCCCCAAGAGGCCCCCAGGGTATCCCTAACATGCAATCAAGAGGCCCCTTCTAGCGGCACCTAAGGGTGACTCAGGAAGCCGCCAGAGTGCCCACACAGGGCATGCAAGCGGGCCACATCAGTTGAACACCGCACGGAATCCCAACACGTTTTCTTTCCTTTTCATGAGTTTTCATGTGTTGCGAAAGTGCTGTCCCAAGATGGCATTGGAGGTAGTCCCGAAGAGAGTTGCAATATTACTCAAGGATGGCCAAGGTCTGCCGCGAATACCAAGCCTCCGTGTGACTTCAGGCGCCACCGCGTGAGCTTCCAAGCCAAGGACCCAACCATTTGGACACGGCCTATCTGGCGCGCTATACGCTTGGCCCCATGGTACGTTGAATTTGAGCGCACTCGATGGTTCTAGCACATCTGTATCTAGATATGTGACTCTTCGGTCGTTTTGGGACCATCTTGGGCTGTTCTTGGGCCGTCTCGGTGGCGATCTTCGGGGCCTCTTGGGCCGTCCTGGGGCGTCGGGAAGCCGAACAGGCGAGAACGCCTAAATCTTTCAAAATTCGAGGCAAATCAATCATTTGTGCCTCTTGCGAGGCCTCTTGGAGGCCTCTTGGGCCGTCTCGGGGGCATCTTCTGTGATCTGGCGGCCATCTTGTGCGTCTTGGACCGATCGTTCGATGAATCGAGACTCTCTGCGGCCGTCTGTGGGGCCTCTTAGGGTCCTCTTGGCCCGTCTTGGGGCTCTATCGGCGTCCCAAGAGCTCAGTCGACACACCCCGGCAGGGCGCAGGACCCGGACCGCGGGTGACCGCCGCAGAAACTGGACAGAGCATTGGGGCATTCTGCCCCAAGTCTATGGCCAAGAGTCACAAACCCTCTACCTCGCAGAGCCGCATGAGCCTTGGGGCCTTCCACGACGTGCCGAAGGCACAGTGGCGTATAGACGCACACATACATACACACATACATGCACACATACATACATACATACATGCATACATGCATACATACATGCATGCATACATGCATACTTATATACATACGTACGTACGTACATACATACATGCATACACACATATATATACATACATACACACATATGTGCATACATACATGTACATGCATACGTACCTACATGCATACATATGCACGTCCATACATGCACACCACCATACCTATCTACCTAGCTACCTACTTACATACATTCGTACACACATACATCCACACATACATACACACGTACGCACATACGTATATACGTCTTTACTTACATACGTACATACGTGCATTCGAACATACGTACATGCATTCGTACATCCATACATACATACAAACAACCAGGCATACATACATGCATGCATACGCACATACATACATGTTTACATACATGCATACATTAATGCATGCACACTTGCACACAAACATATTCACACATCTACATGACGACAACGATACATACAGACATAGCCACATACAACGACACGCATCCATACATACATTCATACATACATGCATGCACGCATCCATACATACATGCATGCCTGCAGGCATGCATGCATACATACACACATACACACTTACACACATATGCACATGCACTCATACATACACAAAGACATGCGTGCACACATACACATATACATACAGAGATGCATACATACATACCTACCTACATACAGACAATCAAGCAGTAGCCATACATACGTACATATTTACAAACTTGCATACGCACATACGCACTTACGGACATACGTACACACGTGCATACGTTCATACGTACACACAAACATACATCGATATATACATACAACCAAACAACCATACATGCATACGTACACACATACATACATGTTTACATACATGTTCACATACACGCATCCACTTGTTTACACCTACATGCGTACATATTTGCATGACTATATCGATACATACACACACATACATACAATCACGCACATACACACAGCATACATACATTCATACATACGTACTCACACACAGACATACGCGCACACATGCATACATACACATACATGCATGCATACATACACACATGCGCGCACACATACACATACACTCATTTCATACATACACAGATACATACATACATACACGCATACACACATACACATACACATACATACATGCATGTACATGCATAATACATACATGCATGCATTCAGCAACACAGTATATTCATCGCATTCATCACATACAATACATTCACCGCGTTCATTACATGGATACATGCATACAAGACATGCATGGCTGCCTTCACACTTACACATACCTACGTACATGTGTGCATAATGCACACACATGCATACATATATATATATATATATTATATATATATATATATATATATATATGTAACGGCGCACCGGGTCCGGGGGCCCGGGGCCGGGACCTCGACCACAAATGTGGGCCCCGGGGGGCCCGGAGGCTCGTCGGACCGCCGGACGCCGTCCAAGATCGTTCGCAGGCGGCTTCGGAACGCGCTCCGATGGCTCCAGATGCCTTCCAAGACGCCTGTCATGACACCAAGAAGGTCCCAGAAGCCTCCAAGACGCTCCGAGAGGCAGCCCAAGAGAGGCCCAAGAAGCAAAAATCGTGCCATTCCTATGGGAAAACGTATATTTTTCGCATGTTCGCCTCTTGGGCTTTCACCGCGTCCAAGACGGCCCAAGAGGCGCCCAAGACCGCCCCAAGACGGCCCAAGAAGCTTCCAAGAGGGCCCCAGGACAGCCCAAGAGGGCCCCAAGACGGCCCAAGAGGCGCCCAAGATGGCCCAAGAGGGCCCCAAGACGGGCCCAAGAGGGGGCCCAGAGGGGGACCACGAACCGCAAGCTCGAGCCTTCC